TACAACCAAGGAGGTTTTCTTATCTAGAATATTCTTAGGTATTTGGGATATCTCTTTCAGAATTTTCTCAATTTATTTTAAAGTCTGTTGAATTTTAAGCTTAAGTTAACTCCCTCATGATGCTTCTAGGTATTGAAACTGAAACTTCCAATATTTTTCCGGACGCTTTAATCCATAATGAAGAAGCTTCTACGGCTCCCAAATCCTTAAACGTTGATGATGAGATTTTTGAAGGTTTGAATGCAGATGATAAAGCTCCTTCTGTTTCTGATGCTGTAAATAGCAAAGATGAAGTTCCTGCAGTTTCTGACGCTTCCGACAAAGATGTTCACGTGAATCTCGAAGGGGAAACTAATGTATATAACATAGGTTCTAAATCTGCTTCAAGAAAATTGCCATTTCCACAGGTTCAAGTTAAAAGATTTAAATTTTCTCCTCATATACTCAGATTAGATCTTCCTGATCCATATAAAAGACCCAAGGTATTAATTTATGGTTCAGTCTCAGTATTATTATTTTAAAAAAATCAATATAAGCCTAAATATTCTCAAACATATGATTAAAAACATTTCAGCTTTTAAATCAAAGTTTTATTTTGAAAAAGGACCTTTTTTGTGTGGATAATAAAAATAAATATACTCGCTTTATAAATAAATACTTCTTTTAGAGTAAGTAATCAAATTACATAAGCATGATTTAATTTGACTAATTTCTATTAATTTAAAGTAATTCCTTTTGGCCTTAGGAAGAAACCATGAGAGAAGAAGAAAAAGAATTCCTTCCTGTCTTATACCAGGTAAATATTTTTTGATTGAGTATTTAATAAATGAGATTTTTAAAATTTTCAAAATATCTATTGATATTTAAACAATTTCATCTCTACATTACAGGTTCGGGCATTTCGTACATATATAACAAAAAACAAGGGGGAACTGAGCTTCAACAAATTCGACATAATTGACATAATAGATGATTCTGATAAACGAAATGTAAGAAGCTTAACATATGATTTTTAATTCTTATCTTAATATTTTACTCATTCTAGGTTGTGATTTTAGTCTATTGCATTATATGTTTTTTTACTATTTTGTTTCTTTAGTTTTATATTTGAATTTAATATACAGTCGTCAAAAAAAGAAACTCTTCTTAATTTTCGCAATTATCATCGCTGCGGACAGAATTAGAAACAGTGTTAACGGCACAAAGGGAGCTAAATTATACTATTAAAATATGTTGATTATAATTAACATAGTTATTTCACTTTTAAAACTGAATTTTCTAATTAACGATGCCATTTTTGTCCCCACATATGGTTTTCCCTTATAGAATAAGTTATAAGTTTCGAAATCCAGCTGAAAAATTCTATTCTGAGTTATGAAGGCTTAAAGAATGGCTTCCCTATGTTTATTCTCTACTCAACATTTTTCGAAGATTTTTGCTCCAAACGATAGAGAGATTTTTCTGTCTAATTTTAATAATATAAAAAAAAATTGAAATTATTTTTAATAAACATACCAATTACAAAATACATCATTATCATCATAAATGAATAAACAACCCAGTTTTGAGCCAGTGTCATCTTCTACAGATTTTTCCATAACGACTTCTGATTCGTCTTTGATTTCCAGTTCTTTTCACTAAATGAGAGAAAATCAGATTCCGCCGAATCAGCCCATTTTAATTGCTGTCTTCCCCACCTTCCGTTTTCAGTCTGTCTGAAATGCAATAACTTTTTTTTATTATGTTGTCATCATGCATTCGGGTCCCACATGTGTGGGCCATCCAATTCATCTCCTACTCCAAATACCGCTTTCATTTATACCATCAAGTGTACTCCGCGAGCGTATAACCTTCTCTTCAAAAATTACTATTGTGTTTTCCTCCAGTTTTGTCATTGTCCAAATTTAAAATGCAAATGTTAAGAAAGGCCTGTGTTTTGAAAATTAAAAACTTTGACTTTCTAGAAAGGAGCCAGGAATTAAAAAATCCTTTTAACTCATAGCCCTATTTACGATATATATATAGTCGGGTTTTTAAATTTTTTTTTTATTCAGGAGATATTCTGTTAGTAATAATTCTTCATTAGTAATAATTGAACCCGAATATGTAAGACTCTTTACTACTTCAAATTTATAACAGCCTTTTTCAAGGTAGGGCTTTAGTACTCTGTTTCTTGAGAACATGTATTTTCTTTTATCTTCAGTTTTGTAACTAAGCCCATTTGTCTTACATCTTCTTCAAAAGCAAGATATGTCTCTTTCAAGGCAAGAAGAGATCGAACAATTACATCAATGACCTCGGCATAAGAAAGTTTTTATATATTTAGAAAGAATTACAAAATACAGCTACTGAAAAAATGCATTGTAATATATCAGTATTTTTATATGTTTGGATTTATCACACACACATCATTAAATGCTTAAATCTCGTATTTATGAAATTGAGTTTAATAGCCCAGGGAATACTCCAGTCTGATGTTACGAATGGAAGAATCTCTTTATCTTAAGGGGTTACATTCTAATTTAATCAATGGCTGTGGTAGCCGATTGACCATGGACGCGTACTCGTGGTCAGTGTTGTTCAGTCGGGATTTCGAGTCATAGTGCCCCTGCGGTGTAGAGGAGTTGATGCTCGTTAAATCTGTCTAGGCTCAAAAGTTTTCACATTGGAGTGGTGTGGAAGTTGAAGGAGAGAATGGGGTTCCGGTTCAGGAGTTGTAATGCCGGACGGTTCATGCTTCCATCTGAAACCCTTTGTCTACCCGCAGAACCGGCTAAGTGTGTGGGAGAAACTGAATAATCAACATACATGATTCACACTTATTATTTTATTGTTACCAAAATATCAAGCAGACACAATAACAATCTAATTAAGATAACTGATCAGATAGCAGAGCGTGGAGGCGAGATTCAATAACACAGGGTCTCAACTGAATCCACGATAGCTTAAACACTCAATAGAAACTACATCCTACACTGATAAGCTAACTTGTAATAAAACAAGGCTCACAATACCTGTACTTTTATGAAGCAGATCCTACACTCAAAAGTGAGAGTGCCTTACATTTCAAATAGATGTTATAAAAATTAAGGGGGTGAATAAATTGGAATTTTATAAACCATATATTGATATATACGTAGAAAAAAATCTTAACAACTTTAAAATTTTGGTATATTCACAACACGCGTATTCATAATTGTACTTTTCATAACTCAATTTAATAATAATGCATTTTCTATCTTTTTATATTTCCAGAATTGGAAAATAATATTGTACCATTGGGTATGAAATACCCCGTCGAATAGAAATTTTGTATTGTTAAATATTCAAATATTCATTTAATGTTAAGGAACAAACTTTTTAAAATCCCATAATAAGAAACTGAGCAAAACTACATGAAATTTTAGTTTTTTTAAAATGTGAAATCAGGAATGAAAAAAAGCTGGCATCTGGAATAAGAATATTCCTTTTTATAAGTTAATGAATTCTTTAACACCTGTTTAGTTCCCCATGAACCATTAACAGTAATACTAGTTTTGTTCAGCTGTGAGTTGAGAAAATTGTTACGAGTATCCATTTTTGTGACGATTTTACAACTATAAAATTCTTTTTATAATTCTGGAAATGATTGAATATCTTTACATTTTGACACTGAATCTAAAAAGTACGGTAAAAATTTCTATTATATTTATTCTGCAATAGTTATCAATTCTATCAAAGAAAAGAGAGAAGGGGAACTTACTTTAGAAATTTACTATAGCTTCTTAATTATTTACTTTGATTTTTCTTTTACTTGCCAATTATTTTACTTTGATTACAAAAGCACAAAATTTCAGAACAATGCAAAATCCTTTTTCCCAACTTTACATTTTTAAAAAACAAAGATTCCTAGAAAATCTTTCTCAACAATAAAAGTTTTTTTCTAGAGTTATCATTTTCTTTTTTTTAAAAAATAATAACAGTGGCATGATTTTAGTTCAATAATCATATTAATGACTTTTACTAGTTCAACATAACATGTTTCTGCGGAAAACGGTTTTGTGTGTGACCTGATTCTCTCTTTACATGTGCGTGAACAATGCTAAGAATGCCGTAATTAAAAAATATGTGCATTATTTTAATTTTTTATTTAACACGCGGTAACGTAGCGCCAGGTATGGTTGTCTCCTTTAAGGAAAATGGGTTGCAATTATGTATCTGTAAAACTGGTAGAATTTGCAGTATTACACCTAGAAGAGATGGCAAGGTGAAAGTTGCTGAAGTGAAAACTGAACGGGTTCTTATAAGAGAGATATCTCTAATATTTGTATTTTGCCAATTTGTGATAACCAAGTGTAAAATTGTGTGGTTTTTCTTGTATCTGCTTTATGACACGATAATTTAATTTTAAAATTGAATTATTAAATCTTAAGAATCTAAATTTTTATCAGTAAATCCTCAATTATGTTTCTAATATTATTAATGTTTAGGATGAGGAGTTAAAATTTCTACTTTAAAAAATTGGAGCATTTTTAACTTACTGTTCTCAACAAAAAAGGAAATTGATTTGTTGGAAAGTCAAACCAAACATTTTCGTATAAAGCTCAATCGAAAATTTCGCCATTAATTTAAAGTCTTTAATATTAATTAAGTTTGAATGTATTTTGTAATGAAATAACACACTTTAAGTTTCCAAAGAAGACGATAGATAACGTTCTGCATCAGTAATGCATTTCATTGTGAAGATTTTTTACTTATTTTTCAATTCCTACTATATTTCACAGTCTCTCCATATATATTTATTTATACATGGATGGGAAATTTTCAATCGTTAGTAAAATACATTTTATTCATCCACTCAAGTTCAAATACATTTTTTAAAGCTTGTAAAATGCATGACACTTGATGTTAATACAGTTTTTTCATATATTAATTCACTAATTAAATTTTAATTAATGAATAAATAGTAACAAAAAATAATAATCTAACACCATATATAAAAAAGGAAAAGGGCTCGTTATGTCCCTGTAGCGCAATGGATAGCGCGTTGGGTACCTAATACAACGGTCGTGGGTTCGACCCCCACCAGAGATGGTCTAATTTCTGCGTATGCGATACCTTTTTATTTACTATACTATTTTATTGGAGCTATTAAATTTAATAAATGAAAAAATCATCTCAAACAAAAATAATAGTCTTGGCATCATTTATAGAAAGGCAAATTGCTTTCTATTTTGCCACTTAATATTGTGATTCTGTCATATGTATATATATATTTATATTTATTGAAATTATTTAATAAAAAGTAACTAAAATAAACTTTTTAAAAAAATATATTTCTTGTGTTCAATTTCTCTGTAGGGATGTGCTATTGGAAGGATCCACAAGAAACAGGGGGTAGTTCCATTGTACTACACGAGCAAATTGCCCCAACACAAAGTACATCATATTGTTCATGATACTTGTAATACATAAACTTCGTGAATTTTCTTTGAAATATTTGTGTGTGGATGGCAAGGAGGTAAAAATCTGATTTGAAAATAATAAAATTTCACCAAAAAACAATGTGTGTGTACTTCTTTTCTTTATTTTTACTATTAAGAAAATTAGTTCGTGGTTTTTTTAATCATTTTTATGATTTACGAATATAAAATCTCTGAATAATATAGTACATTAATACCTCGATTTAAGTTACCCCGACTTACGCAAATGCGGAGCTACGCGATTTTCAAATTTGTCGATTCATTATTTTTTTTTTTATCATTACTGAAACTTAGACGGAATCAGTACCTGAACCTAATGAAATTGGCTCTGGTGATGTGATTAAGGAGTAATGTGATTGAAGAAGTTGTCAATCTTGCCAGCAACTTTATTTATTAGTGGATAGTGATGACGTTCAATATAAGAACTGATGGATTCTCACAATCAGGAGCTGACAATTGATGAGCTCATAGAAATGCAAGAGCAAGACACTGAAGAACTTGAGCCTTTAGGTCTAGTTCAATCAAGAAATCTAATGACGGTTGATAAATTGACAAAAGACCTGTTTAATAGAAAGAGTGTTTCAAATTTTAGAAAATGCATAGACGAAGAGCGTATTTTTTCCCAACAAAACAAGGAATAAAAAAAATTATTAACATGTTACGAGGAAATTTTGCAGGAGAAAAAAATCTTTAACACGGCAAACTACTTGTTAGATTTTATGAAATAATCTACATCAAAATATAACTTTGGTTTGTTATTTTGTATTTGTGTTATCTAAGATTTAATGAAGCATTTTTTTTCTTCTAAATTATTATTTTCTTTCGTCTCCAGCCCCAACTAAGAATAATTTATATGAATTTTACGCGAAATTATACCCCGCCTCACGCGAATTTAACTAACGCGTATAACACTCAGTTCCGCCTATAGCGTAAGTTCGGGGTATTACTGTATTAACATAATAGAAAGACTGGAACTAGAAATTTTAAGAACTCTTATACACATAACAACGAATTTTGCTGAATTTTAAATAGCTGCAATTTTGTTAAATATCTGAGAAGAATTTCAGGAAATAGCAACGGTTCAATTGGTTTCTGACATGTTTTTACAGAAAATCTTTTGACATTCCTACCGATAAAAGCCAAATACAATTAGTCATAATTTAACATTAAACTTACTGAAGTGTATAACAAGGATAGAATCAATTGTTTGGTTTTGTAGTCAATATTTTAATGTACAGTAAAACAATAGTACTAGTTGCAAAATATCATTCAATACAACAGCTTAGATTCCTTTTCAACCCGGCACTTCACACGCCAAAAAAAAACTAACTTAACTTCACGCGCAGGGAATCTCATACCCAAGGGTGTTTACATTCCGTTTTTACCATAAAATTTGAAATACAAAGATGAAAAAGGAAGAAAAGTCGGAAGTAGAATATGTTTATTACACTTTTCATACATAAATTTAGTTTTTCTGTTCTTTTTATTAGGGCATTTATACACTCCTTTAATTTTCGTCAGGAGTGAGTGGGATGTTTTTACTGGATCTTATTAATTTTTTAAAATTTTGTAGAAGCATTAGTTGCTGGTTTCTACATTCTTATGTAAATTGAAATCCAAAACACTTTAGAAATCAACATCTGGTTCAATTTTTAGTAGGTGGTTTCTGACTACTTAATAAAATATTTTACGTATTTATTGTTGCAACGTTCAACAACGCAAAAAATACTGTCATAGGCTAAAGATTACATTTTATAACCATTGAATATCATGATGTCATTTTATCAAAGACGATAAATGCTCCCTCAGTTAAATTCCTCTAATCAGTAGAGGAATTATACTTACTATTATACTCTTCATGATTCGATTCTTCCTCATCATCCCGGCAAAGAGTCTGTCTTCATTCGAAATACTGTATCTATTAAATTATTTAAATATCACATTTCTTCATCATAACTATAGTAATATACCATTGCATAAGAAAGATTTTAAAGCGTACTCATTTATTTAGAACTGTAACGGCGATTCACGCGCAGGGTAGGCCATATCCGGAGAGGCAGTATCCAAAAATATAACTTTAGAATTCGCCTATAAGCTAACGCCACTTAAAGTCAGCTACACGAGAAACTATTCATTTTCCGAAAACGGTTTAGACGGAGTCTTGAAAAAAATTAGACGTTGGGTATCACATACCCTGCGCGTGAAGTGCCGGGTTAAACTGATTTTTGCTTAGCTTAAGAAAATTTATTTTTTCAAGAGTATCATTCCAAGCTATTGAAGAACATTAATTAAAACATGAATTAAATAATTTTAAAATAATAAGTGTGTTTGATACATATTAATATACGTTAGTTACAATTATTCCCACAAAAACAAAAAGCGCTTCCCTTAATTGATTCACGTTTGAATAATTTTAATCAAAATCTAGATTATCTTCACTTAATTATATGAGAAATTTAACAATCATAAGAAGAATGAAAAGAAATGAAATGGGGATGCACCTATACACATAAATTATAATATTTTAATTAGAGGATTTTAAACACAGAGGGAGTTTTATATAAAATAAAGTAATCACTTAGAAAATGTGACCAAAATTTTGAAGCATTTTATTATGAAGAATTTTCTCAAACGTTGCAATGCTAATAAATCACGTACATCAAAGGATAATGTAATATTATTTGTATTGGCATTATTAATAAGCGTATTTAAGTAAAATAGTGCATACAGGTATAAATATAGTCCACTTTAAAAACATAATTTAAGTAGACATTAAATTGAATATATAAATTTTTTTTATTTTGTCCTAAATTAGACATATGTCCTTCCTTTTTACATATACCTAAAATTTTTCATACATATATCCTCCTCCTCCTCTCTCTCTCTCTCCTCCTTCCATTTCTTACATATGTCCTAGCCAGTAGCGCACACAGGAATTTTTCAAAGGGGGGCAGGATCAAAAGTTTACTATTCTGGTATCCTTCTCCAATACGGTGCCCAACATATTCTTTTGATTTTGTCAATTTTCGGTAACAAAAAACAGAAAAATTAATTATTGATTGACTAATTAGAATTAATTAATAAAATTAATTACTTAAAATAAATACTTAATTTCATTTTACGTACCATATCCACATAATTATAATCAATCCAGAAAAAAAATCAAGGGTTTTGGGGGGGGGGGTCCCGACCTAAGGACCCCCCCCCCGTTATCAATAAGAATAAATATGAAGGTAATCGTATTCAACTTTTGAGTACTGCATAATGAAGAAACACATAAATGTGTAAATGTTGACTATTTCAAAGCATGATAGAAGAAAATTAACCAATTCAATATAAAATAAAATTTGTAACTTCAGGTTATTTTCATAAAACTCTTGGCTTAGGTTCAAAAAGTAATTACAAGATACATGTTTAATGCAAAGTATGGAGTCTCCTCCATAACCCTAAAATATTATTTAACAATTTTATATGAAAAAAAATGGCAGCAATACCAAAAATATGTATATTTTTTTAAAATAAATTTATTTGCAAAACTCCTCATGCTCCACATCGCATAACATGTAGATTACAGACGTAAGTGGTATATATATATAACATCATTATAAAATTTAAAACAAAATATAAAATACATTTAAGGCGATAGGTACCATCTTCACAAATTTTTTATTTTTAATATTTGATATTTGGTTTTAATTGTATTTCATAAGGGTTAATATTTAATATTAATTCCATACAAAAAATTAATTTGTTGCAAAATGTTTGTAAAATTTAAATATTTTTAGCTTTTTTAAGCATTTTTTAAATTCCTAAGGCTTTTTTAAATGTCTCTTTTCTTTCAAAATTTTTTTTCCAAGTACCTTAAAATATACTGCATAAAACTGTGGATGGGTTTTTTTCTGCTGCTGTTCTTTAATTTTTTATTAATTTTTTTATAGTGAAACTTCCAAAAATTCCCAAAAAAGCATTACTTTTGATTTTGAAATTTTTTGGAAAAAGTACTAAACATGTTAGAGCTAATTCCATGCACATACATTTCAGAACATGTATAAAAAATTTCAAACCCATATTTCAATTATGAAAAAAGCCTTAGGGTTTTGAATAACAGTATATTTACAAAAATTCAACATGGAGAAATATGAGTTTGAAGTTTTCATTCCATGAATAGCATGATATAATATTCATCGAATAGTCTGAAACTTTTATGAAATGTTAATTAGCTTATTTAAAACTGCTTACCATAAAAAAGTGCACAAATATAGAACAATTAAACGGTATACTGCCGTAATGAATATATAGAAAAAAACGAATGAAAGATCAATATTTCATAAAACTTTAACTTAATAATTATAAAAAAAAGATAAATATACACACTTAAGAGCTAATTCCATGCTCAGAGCTAATGCAGAACATGTACAAAAAATGTTTATGCCTTTATTTTTTATTTCCATGATTTTAAAAGCCTTCGCATGTTAAATATTGTACACGAATAAAAGCAAAATCAAATAAAAATTTATAGGTAAAATACATCAAAATCTAAGAACTGTATATGTGCATTTGTTTAAATAAATATCTTAAAATATTTTAATAATAAAAGTTTTGAATCTCGCA